GAGAGAACGGGGCGCGGAGGGGGTTGTGCGAGAAGTCGGAGGTTCGGGGATTCGGTGTGCATGCCGGGGAGTCGCTGGTGGCGGTTCAGGCAACCCCCAATATGGGTTTACTAATCCCGCGAAACAATGGAAATTGCCCGATGCAAAATGGCGATAGATAAACTACTCTACCTCGGCGAGTCCGAGAAAAGGTGGGATAGATAGCTCAGCGACCGATCACAGACGAGAATATACCCCCATTCGTTCAAATTACGCCGTTTGAATATATTATTTGAGTTTTCGGGTTTTCGTTGCGCGGCTCTTCGAGGTCGTTGAACTGGCGTCACTGTTCCTTTTTCTTTTTTTTTTTTTTTTTTGAAAAATGTCAAAGAAACGTTGCTGGTTAGGTTAATCGAGACGAGCAGACTGCGGGGAATTGAGAGATGGAAAAATAGAAAGAATGTATAATGCGGACAATATGTATTGTGTAAATGTGTAAAATGTCTAAAGCAGAGTACTTATCATTAGATTGCGGATTTTTATGCAATTCGTAGCTCGAGAATTAGAACCTTCGTGGAAAATTGTTTCACGCAGATGTACTAGATGTTGTAGGAAGGCGCTGTACATTGTAATTTCATGCTTTGAAATTTCCTGCACAAAAAGAGCAAATTTCTATTTAGACTTCTTTAGTTTTGGATTCGTAAAAATATAAAAATGCACAATCACCTACAATCTGTTGGTAATGATAACATAGAAATATTAAAGATAAATACTACTTATGTTTAATAATTTACTAGAATGCAGATTTCTTGTGCAAGATGACAGAAATTATTATAGTCTCATCCAAATTCTAGAGATATAAATTGTTTCAATGGTAAACATAAAAATACACATTAAAAAGACGAAAGTTTGAAACTGACAGGATAAATGAATAAATTATTTAATTCGTTTACAGAGAGATGGAATAAGGCGATGTACACATTGTTGATTAAATAGATTTTATACAAACGAACTTATTACAATGGAATATACAAGAATATACAACTTTGACTGCAATCGCTAATTTTACTTTTTTTTAACTTTAAATATAATTTCTTTTGACAACTGTCTGGATTTAAATTCGAGACATAATTAATCGAGTTGGAGATTCCTTAAACAATTTTCTAGAAAAGTTGCTGAATGAAAAATAGACTTGATGTACCTTAATCTAAAATATTTATCTAATAATGGGGCAATGGTCCTTGAAAACAGAAGACTTTTTTAAATTCTATCCCACTTTCTTTGTACTAATAGGTCTGGTTTCAAAATAGAAGAGCAAAATATCGGAAGCAAGAGAAACAACTCCAGAAGGCTTTGACTCCGATTCCTGCTTGTCAAGGTGCTATGATGAGGAATATTTACCCTGGTGCTAGCAGAGGTTATCAACCGTACCCTCACCCTCATAATAGCATAAATGGAATAAACCGCTACCCTCAGGCAAGTCATCTTTTTCTCAAAAATCGTCATTCCCTATGTATTAATCTCACTATATATTCGCATTGCAATTTATTCCGATAGAAAATCCTATTTCTTTTATCGTTCCTTTAGAAATAAATGTATTATAAAATATATTATTATTCAGATTCAATATAATTTTTATTAGCAATAGTTTGCCCTCTTACAAATTTACAGGTATCCGGATTTTTTCTGCGAAACAATGCCAAAATTAATTAGTATACAATTAAGAATGCTTTATTAAAAATACGAAAAAATAACAAATTGATTTGCTGTTTGATGTAATTATTGGAATAGGAATTTTCAATTATGAAGATTCAGGAGATTGAGGAGACAAATATCATCATTAAATTTATAAAGTTTATCGCTAAATATGTCGAATTTGTTAAATTTAATAACAATTATGTATTTATTGAAATGAACAAAAAATTTGCAACATAATAAATTCAGTTCTTCATAAATATCAATTTTGTTCAACATTTTAAAATGCTCTAACGTGATTGTAACTTACGTAAGTTATCATTACTATTTCGTTATTATTATTTTGTATTTTTGCTATCAATTTTTTAACCATGTGAGTATATGAGTCTTATGTTTTATTCTAACTTTTATTCACACAATACGTCGACATTGTCTTTCAGAAAAAAATCTAAGATACTCTGTGCAAATAATTCTTCGAGTCGCTCATTATCGATAGAAAGATAACGTCAACATACAACGAAATTTGATTAATATCTCAATATGCTAAATCCATTGTCACTCATTTCAACTTTAACACAAGTTCAATAAATTTGAAGTTTAAGTTTACCGTGGTTTTACAACGCAAATTTAAGTTTAACGCAGGTAATACTCCATTCATTTTATTCAAAAAAGAAAAATGTCGAGTAACAGAAATATTTTTCGTCCACGTGTATGTAAACTGTATTAAAAAAAGAGAGAGAGAAAAAAGAAATTGTCAGTGGTGACAATCGATGCATCACACCTAACAAGCAACGTATCGTATCCCTACGAATGAATTCGATGCGTTTCTCGTTAATGATTTTAACCGAGGTATTAAATTGAAGTGCACCTGAGCGTACGTCCGGCGCATCGCTATCGGTCGATGTAGCTAAATTGCATTTCGACTGATTAGTTGGGTCGGACGGATTACCGAATGCCTACCGGTTTAATTAAGCCAATAAT